ATAAAATTTTAAGCAATTATAAAAAAATATAAAAAAAAATATTCTAGCGGGTATATTTAGCTGCTGGATGGTTTAAGAGATAGTCTAGTCCAATGCCTTTAGCTACTGGACATAGTAAAAGTGACAACCCTGGTAGTATATACATAAGTACATACTGTACATATAATAATGTATATATATATATATATATATGTACATATAACTGATAATAACTAGTATGTATATATGTATTATGGACAAAACTCAAAAAAAGTAATAATAACGATAATCAATAATTAATTTTATTATTACAATTTTTTTTTTTAAGCAACTTAACCATAGGAGTACTATTCGAATCGTCTAAAATGATTCAAATGATACTAAAATATACCATAACATAATTTTATCTCTATTTATACCTTTCTTGCAGTTTTTGCAAAAATGACTATAATTCATTTTCATGAATATTTTCTCTAATAGGTAGTACTAGTAAGCATTTTTGAATTTACTAATGTTCATAAATATCATCAAGTATTAAACTTTGATTATTCATGAAAAGTTAGATTTTATGAGCACAAGATAGTCTCATGGTGTTTGAAAAAGATCTTGTACATAGTTGCAAAGATTCTTGAATAGTAGCACGTGTTATTTTCTGATATTGTTCTTTCAATTTTTTAAGAGCAAAAATTGAAACTTTACCCCTAATATCTGTATACAAAGGAATATTTTGTACAAAAACAAGTACAAATTTTTCTGATACAACCATAGTATCAATTTTTTTTTTGATTCTTTACAGCTAAAGAAATTTTCTTATGAACCTCACAGAGATCTCCCACCGATATACACAAATAAGTCTTAATAGTTGTATATGTATCTTCAACTCGAGAAGTTACAGTTGTTTCCAAGTGAAGATGCATATTGGTCCATACTTTTATAAACTTTTCTTTTCAAGGAATCCAAGTATTGACAATATAATTAATGATATAGGGTTTATTAGAATAAATGTGTAAAATTTTTGCCATTTCATAATGAATTTCTTATTCGTTAATGATTGAATGACTTTACTCTATTTTGAAAAAAAGATTTCCTATTCTGTCGCTCCTATAAACTGTGGCTTACAATTTTTCATTATATTTTTATTAATATACCATAGGCATAATAAATTTGTTAAATCTGGAAAAGTTATTTCAAGAGCTCTCATAAGGGCTAGCTCTCTGTCAGTAACTATTATACCGGGCTTTGATATATCAGCAAATAAATAAGTGATACATAATAATACCATTAGTAATTCTCTTTATTTTTATCTTTTATAAAAACGAAATATGAAAAGAAGATAGTGTTGAAACTGGTCATTCAAGATTCTGGGTCGGATAGTGTAGTAGTTAGTACTTCAGGGTTGCACTTGCAAGGTCACCGGTTTGAGTCTATTGGATTACAAAACTATATTAGGACCATGTGTATTAAAGATCTATGATGAGAAACTGTATTTCCTTCTATTTACAGACAAGATACTACAGCGATAAAAGAGTTGCATGACATAGCTACTTAAATCATGTGACATCCAGAAAAGAAAAAAATCTGACAAGAAACATCATAAACATAAGGACTATCCACTATAAAAAGAAAAAATAAATGATACAAGAAGCAGAACAAAGGGTATCTGATGACACTATATCAACCAAAAACAGAAAGTAGTTCCCAGAGCAGACGAAAAAAGCTAACCTACAAAATGACCTGGCGGAATGTGTAATTCCTTAAAAGCTATCTACAATTTGAAGAGATACAGGGCACCGACATGGTAGACTTGCCAGAGTCAGTCAGGAAAAACGGATGATAGGAGGGAGGTATAGTTTAGCCAGAAAACTCCTAATATATATAATGTAATGTAAGGTATTGATAAATTAATCTTAATAAATGAGCACCATACATGCCTCTAGCAATAGAACTAGAGTATAAAAAAAAAAAAAAAACTGGTCATTCCAATGATATTTAGCAATGGTATTTTGAACTTATTTGTCTTGTACGTACAATCTATAAGAAGAACAGAGGAATAATGACAAGTAAGTATGATAGAATCATTATGTGCAAAAAAAAGGTGAGTAATATAGCTAGCATTATCATATTTGTATTTATGTACATAATTATCCTCCTGAAGCTTATCTATCAATGCCTTGACAGAAGTATGATCTCTCAAATTTTGTTGCTGAAACTATTTACGTGCATTATAAATGTCTTTACTTATCGCTAATATTGATAGATCATTTTGATGGAGGGTTGATATAATTTCCTGAGGGCATGAGCCAGAGGTAGACATTTCTTTAACGCTCATTAATTGTTGTTTTGTAAGCTGGCGAGATATTGGATGCTCTGATAATTCCTCTAAAGGATCATGATTATATATATTATTACAGACTTCTAGATACTATAAATTCATATATCAAGTGGCATATAATTCAAAAGGACAGTTCATTAAACAAGTACTTGTTTGTCTTTGATGTTTTTCAGAACTATTGTAAATACCACCTCAATTATAATGCAATGTTATGTTTTTTAAATGACCGTATCAGTTCTTACGTGATCTTTTTTTTACTACTATGTAGCCTTGAGAATTGGCGAATGCCTGGATATTTTTAACAAAGTCATCGGAAGTTTTATATATTGCAGGAAGTGGCAGAAGCATTTGTAATTAAAAATTACTCAAAATTTATAGTCAATTTGGTGTTTTTGCAAAACGCATATGCAAATGCTTTTCCTTCTTTTAATTCATAT